CCTTAAATAAGTTCCTGTTTAAAACATGTTAGTTATTCAGTACAAAGGAAACTTGAAAGTTATATGATTATCTAAATGACTCATCATCGGTTAAAAAAAAACACCATATGTACAAAATCAGGACAGTTATGATACAAATCTGAATGACAGATTTAACAATCAATTCACAGTAATTATAATAAGAAAAATATATGAGAACAGCTAATGGATCAATTAGATGTCTATAGTCAAAATATAAAAATCTCATAAACCAACTATTAGATAATTTACGTAGTAAAAGTTTCACATTTCCGATCATTCTACCCTGTCTTAACAATAGTAGTCGCACGAACTCATTGTATCTGTAAATATGTGTATGCATTCACTGTTCAATTAGTATTTACTTATTTACGAACTAAATACCTATATATCGCTTGCGTCAATTTACTTCGCCAGTGTCAACGTGTCATATTGGAAAATATAATATTTACCAAGCTAGTGCAATTATGACAAAGGATAGAAATAAAACATCATCGGTTATGTTATATTTTCTTCTTTGGCTAACTATTATCATTCAATAGATAATTCAGTCATGGTTCCTTGTTTACAAAGTGGTTGGAAGTAGATGCCAGGATAACCTGGACCTAGACGTCGTGATTGTTGTTAACAAGCCGTACCTGCCATCTTGTGGGAACTGATGCTCCATTTGGTATTGAAACACAAATAATCCAGCTTCACAGTCCAAAATATTGCCACAGAGCTATCAGGGCTGCGTCTGACCTTTTGTAGGACTGAGGCTTTTACAATTGATTGATCACAGATCAATGACTAATCATGTTTGTTTAGAACTTATCGCTTATCAAATTGAAGCTGATGTGCATAAGATTTAAATCACATAAGGAATACCAACTGATGACGAGTGCCAAATGGGATGAAATCTAGATTCGTAGAGTTTTGCCAACCCTCCCATATCAAAATATGCTGCACGCTATGTCCAGTCACATAGACCAGTAGCAAATTACAATTTAATCGATATAGTTCGACCAGCTCCATAGCCTAGATAAACATGACAGCGGTCACTATCCAATCAATAACAAATAGATTTTTCTAATAACCCAACATTCTTATCCTTTGTTCAATGAAATTGGTTACTGCTTTTAATCACAAAATTTCACTGATAACTGTATAGAACTTAACAAGAGTGCACTGAAAATAGCACTCCTCATTCATATAACTATTTTTTTTTAATATAATGGGGATTTTTAAACATAATTCAATAGCTAATAGTCCCTTGTTTATTATTTCAGACCAACATGAATTATTGTTTTATATACAGTTAGTTTCCTACGGGGGAATGCAAAATTCTAACTTTGTTGGTATTATGAATTGATATGCATATTTACGACACATCATTTCTGAGGGTATTTGCAATGTCCTTGTTTGTTTCTCAAACTTCATCTTAAATAAAAATAAATGTATGATATCTCGGTTCTACGATTTCTGCGTATCACTTCTACGTTATCATTATATGACTATTTTATTTGACATTATCCTGCATGTCTGTGTGTCTTAAGTCAGTATTTATCAATCACATTTTAAAACAGCAACTGTTCATGGCTCCTTTTGGAAGCACCTGACCAGTCAAATGCAAGCACCTGGGGTGTCGACAACTAGAAGAAACATCATGTTGATTTGAACACTTATGATATGCCATAAAATAATTTTGAGTTAATTGGAGTTGCAAGGCATGAAAACATCAACACTGCATAACACGAATCCTTAGGATAGCTTTCTCGATATCAAGAATAAGTTTAATGTCAGCAGACACTCCTTATCTGGGACTGAGGATTTTGAGAATGCGTAAGCGTTATTTCCACAGATTCTCTTCAAGTTAGCACATCTGGTTTATGTTCAGCCTATCTACATGTGTGTGGATAGTAAACATGAATTCTATGTCGATTATGTAATCTTTAGGTGATTAATTGATATATACGTCCCATAGGTTAATCCGAAGAATGCGATTAATCGGCTAGAATACCCACCTGTTCTCGATTTGGGTAACTCTCTATAACTGGATTACCTGGTACATAATCGATATATATATAATACTTTGACCCTTCACTTTCGAGAACGCTGACGACAGTAGTAAAAATAACCATACCCAGTAATTTCATGTCTTAATGTCATACTATCCTTGAAGAAGCTTGGATCATCCTGCTGTTGAAATTATTTCCAGTTTTAAGCGCTGAAAATTTAGTGAAATTCCTTCAAATTAACAAACAACCGTCGTAATATTGATATATGTTTTGGAGTTTTTCGAATTACAAATTTGAATAGGGTCCATCCCCGTGAATTTGTAATGCATCCACCTCTTAGTGTTCAACATGTGTATAAAACCTAGTGTTTTTTGTCCCACCATTTAGTGGATAAACACTTATGTACATAATTTCCACTGAGAATTTACTTCGAAGCTCTAACTTTCACTTTATTTGGCTTTTTCATCCGGTAATTTCGGATGTGCTACAGTGACGTGCTCACAAACGACATATGTAGATAGCTTTGGATAATTAATATAAAATACTCAGTGATAATCATACTCTTATATTCAGGACTGAGAAACTTTAATTTAACTTTTTCATAGGACACCATAAAGACAAGTTACCAGATTTCAGGTCTGTTGTCATGTGATCGGAAATATGTATATACATATTTTATACTACTTTGTAATATCAAGATTTATTTATAATACTCTATGACCTACATATATTGATCGTTTTATTTTGTTATAACTCTCTCTAATTGGAACAATGAGTACAGATACATCCATGTTTTTTTTCTAATTTGAAATGGTTACACACACACACACACACTGTGTACTTCAATAAGATGACTATTATTCACTGTGAATTGCATGATTTTTTAAAATTTTATTTCATTCTCTGCATGAATAATACAAATATGTATGCAAGATATTGATTAAAATAACATACTGGTGATATATATATATACCGAAACCTAGAATATTTGTAACCAAGACAACAGTGATAATAACACATTACTTGAATAGATAAATTTATAATGATTAAACATGTTTCACCGACTAAAACCTTAATCATTTTATTATAAAATGGATACAAATACAATTTTGTAGTTTTAGTAAAAAGAAACAACTAGCTTCATTGAATTATTCATTTTATAAAACAAAATTTTTGTAAGATATATTTTGTCATTTGTGTCATGTTCGCCATAATCGACTTTTTTCCTGATGAAGGTAAAAGTAGTCTACTGACATTTTTATCTTGGTGTCAACTTTTCCTCTGATCTGTCTTGGTCTTCCCACGTTTTATTGTTATCGAAGAAGGTTTTCCGTCTGACCTATTACATAAAGAGATTGCATACTCTTGGAATTACTCGTCATTTACTCTTACAATTTGTCAATTCTTGCATACTACCTATTATTCTTTACTGTTCTCCATTATTCTTTCCCGGGCTTTTGAGAAAAGACTTTGCTGTATTGCGAAGAGTGCTGAAGGCAGTTAGCAAGATGTGTGGTGAATCTTTCGAGGTCATAATTAATATGGTTGTGGATAGACATCTATTGTCATGCAAACTCTCGGCAGGTGTTATTTTATCAGATACTAACCATCCCCTTCACTCTTATCTTTCTCCTTGTATATCTTCTGGTAGAACGAGACGTAATTACATTAAAATCCCTGCACGCAAGCAAGAGTATAAAAGTTCCATAATACCTTACCTAGCAAATATACTCTGTGACGAACAGGTTGCTAGAGTTAACCTAGTCAATAACCTGCATTCTTAACATGTCTTTAATCTTAAAAATTGTACAGTTTTTCGGTTGTTTTTCTTAAACCTTTTTTGTGTTTGTTACTGTCTTTTTTGCGTAAGTAACTTGTTGAAATACCCTGTGCTGAGAATTCTATATTGTACCAAAATATAATATTGAATAAAGCCATTAATAATAATAATAATAATAATAATAATAATAATAATAATAATAATAATAATAATAATAATAATAATAATAATAATTGTTATTATTATTATGTTGAAGTAGAATCATTAAGCCACACTATCTTTTTGCAGCTAAAAATTCAATACGGTATTATTACTTATGATTTGGGGGTTGAGTTTCATTAAATTATCATTTATTATATCAAAAAAAAGAGTGAGATAATAAATTACCCATGTACGATTGATTTCATGTTGCCTGACTATTAGGCTTTATATCGAATGAAAAGCCGTAATATGAAATACCTCAAAATTGGATACATGCTACTAACAAAAAGCAATAGATTTGTTTCATACCAGAAGTTGTCATTAGTTATCTCGAAATGACTGTAAAACTAGGAAAATCAATAGCTTACAGAGGGTTTAAACATGAATTACTCGATCATTTGGAACTACCTGGTAATTCCCTTCAACTATCTAAAACCCGATGAACCCATTCAGAAATTGATCAACAGAGTTAAATTTGTATCGGAGATTAAATAACTATAGAGTGACTAGTAAAAAAACTGAGTGATTACTTTGAAGGTTTACTTTCAAGGTTTTCAAGAATGTTCACGTTCTTCAAACAACGATGATAGTTTTCGGAATGAGGAATAGTTAAAATAATAAAAGACTGACCAGTCAGAAAAATGCTTAGTTGAATAGTAGTATGTATCTTTTTTCTCTCTCAAAAAACAGGCAAATTTATGAAACACGGGGAGAATATATATCTAATGATATTTTTAATGAATGAACAATTTGATTGGTTTTATTAACTCTCAATATATGAGTTTAACCCGAAAAAATGAAAAACATATTCGTTCAGAGGTTCAATTATACAACTTGAAATACTTCAAAGTTTAAAAACAAATAATTGAGTTCATCTGTTGTTTTGTTTTTAGATAATACAAACATAAAACAATAATTATAAAATTGTCTAATGCACAGAGAAAACAAATAGCATGTAGACTGATAAGTGTAAACATATCCAGAATACTCATTATAACTATGTAGTCAAAATATTTTACTTATGCACTGGCCTCAGCTGCAGGCGTTATTCGAGTCGGTTCAACAGCAGGTTCGAGTGAATTCTGAAGGTTAGAATTTGGGTTTACTTCATTGTGTTCAATTTCATCAGATGTTTTTAAATCTTGATTAGAAGATAATTGATTCTTATCTCTTCGTTTCACTGGATTTCCACGTCCTCCATTCGTCCAATTACTACGTCTTCCGAACCTGTTACCACGGTTACGACGCTGTCCAGATTCACTATCATATGCCCCTGCATTTCTGCTTTCCTTATTGTTTAGTGAGAATACCCCTGTACGTGAAGGACGATTTTCACGTCCATGTGTACGATTTTGTGTATTGCTAGTGTCGATACGATTGTTCTCCTCGTCTATTTCTGTACTATTCACTCCACCTACGGATTCACCTGGCAAATTAGAAGTATCTTGAGATGAAACTGGTGCATGTTGTTGTTTATGTGTTAATCTATTTTCACTGTTTCTGTGGATAGATGAGCGTATGGCATATTGATCTTCCAATCCTAAACTTTTTATCACCGTATCTAACCTTGAGCGAAAGCTAACCAAATCCTCTAACGGAATGCCGATAACATTACGATGTAGGTCTGTAACTTGAGAAATGTGAATTCGTTTTCCCCATCGAGTATCTTTTAAATTAAACAAAAACCTTCTTTCACCCGATATACTGTATAGTGATTGAACTTTTGGAATTAAATCAATTGCTCGATAACGTGTCGCAACATCGGCTGCAAAGTAAAATAGTAAAAATAGCTCAAAGATCAATTACAAGTGATTTCTAGATTTAAATTAAACCGATTACATCTATATATCGGGTATAAAAAAAACTTAAATCATTAACAAAGCAACGTGAAACGGAACATAAATAGAGTACACATTTAAAATTATTTCTTTGATAAAAAGCTTTCGAATCACTATTTGAATTACTGCAGTTCAGTAATATTTCTACATTCATATTAGATAAATCAAATAACCAAGTTTAGACATAAATGAATGATGTATTTGTAATATCCCAATGAGTAGAAAAATCAGATTTTCGGACGTTTCGTGACTTAGTGTAAGCCACTTCTTCAGAGAATAAATAAATAACCAAATCAAAATTAATCCAAGTTTAAAAAGTACAAACGGAACAACAAGAATATTTTGTTCCGTTTGTACTTTTTAAACTTGGATTAATTTTGATTTGGTTATTTATTTATTCTCTGAAGAAGTGGCTTACACTAAGTCACGAAACGTCCGAAAATCTGATTTTTCTACTCATTGGGATATTAAAAAAATTATTATTTATTTATAATAATCTCTCCAATGCTCAATTTATTCGAAATTATCAAGTCAAACCTTGGTAATGATACCTATAAGTTTAGACACGTTTTCAACATCGAAATGTCTAGCACAATGATCTCAAATAAATCTACAATTTTAATTTACTTAAAGAGGGTACTCTACTCGAAGCAAAAAATCAATAGAACAAGTCCACCTAACAACCGGTGTTTCAAAATGTAAAGTGACATAAACAATCAGACAAAATCATCTTGTGAAATTTCAATAAAAATGACCCCAAAACTAATTCATCAGACTTGAATAAAACATATCCATCATCAACACTTATATTTAGAATACTCAAATAGGAAGCGTCTGTCATTGAATGGATCATAGAAAATCACTCATGATGACAGTATGAACAATTGAATTAAAATGATTAATATCCCCCACATGTAAAAGCACCATTTATAGCTCACTTAGTCAAATAATAAATGTAAAGTAACCGAAATCATAGCCTATTACTGAACCCTGAAACATTTTACCGTATGGATTAGAAAAAAGGTGACTAAATAATTATAATTAGACCGCACACTAATAGAACAATTTAAGCATAATTTAATTGGTGATGGAAGCATTCAAAAATGGTAACCAACGCCCAATTGAACACCTCTGATTCAAGCTGCACACAAATCATATCTATGAAAATTGACTAAACCTAATACAATCCTAAAATATTTAATTTATTTCAAACAATACCTATAACGTATCATAATGTTGACAAAAGTTTACTTCCCTAATATTCATATAAATTCGTTATAAGTTCTTCATACAGAATTTTAAACCTGAAGAACTCAATAGATTTCATTGATGAAAGTCCACCCTAAATTCGATGTGCAGTTAAAGCTGAGTTTCAAATGTTAAGGAACTTAAAATTTAGTATGAGATAGATTTACTATGTTATCGAACTCTGAATTCGTAAAGCTGAGATTTAATAACCAACTAGTAAAAACGCTATTGTTAGTTAAATCTGAAGTTCTTAGTGGACATTTAGTGTAAATATTCCAACGGTATTACAAGGATAATTGGTTCGATGAGTAACATATATCAGATATAAAAGTTACTGGCAATCATTGAATGAATAAACCTAATATAGAGTGGAAGTATCGTTTCATAACTATGTAATAAATACTATAAATCATGTTACCCTGAAGCTGATTATCAATAAACGTGCAATGCATCATTATTTATTTAGTGCCAATGAACTTGAATCACATTAATCTTGTTCGAATTTCTATTTCAAAGTTCTCCATTAACGCTATTTGTTGTTGTTGTGATTAGTCCATACCGTTGTGCAACATTACCTGGTATTTTATTATCTCTAGTCTCCATATCTAAACTAAAAGAATACACTTTTCAGACTGATGTATGAGTATTATACTGATAAGAATACATCAAATCACGATACCTCTACAGAATAATAAAGTAATGAGTCCAAATCTTAAATGAAAGCATAAACTTTGTTTTCACATAAATGTATCAGCAGATTACAAAGAATGGTAAAATACTACTATTGTAATGTTTGAAAATTCACAATGATCAAACATTTAGATTATAGGCTCGTTACAAGATCATTTGGTTACATAATAAATAAAAGATTTAACTTAAAGCCTAATTCGGAGGGCAATTGCAAATGTAGTCGATTTACAATGACTGAAAATAGTGGATAAACGATTAATGATGAATATTTTATACAGTGGACGAAAACTTAAGTCAAATTGAATTTTAAACAACCCACCACTAAAACTTCCAGTGTTCGTATAAAAAAAGATCTCTATTAGTGGATTACACGTAGTGTAATCAATTATCTACTATTCTGTTTTCAATAAAAACCAACATCCAATTTGAAAAGAGATAAATTGAAGTAAACCTATCGTACACAAAACGATTCTTATGAACACTGGATTTTGAAAAAAACCACAGTAGATTGATTAGATGGTGTGATTAAGAATGAATACACTTACGCTTTGTGATTGATTGTGAGATACTCACTTATAGGTTACTAATCTAGTTCTATTATCTTGAAGGTCTGTGGTTCCACATCTAGTATAGACAGACGTTTAAAACAGTTGAAAAAAAATATTCCGCTTTAAATTATACAAGTTGTATGCCAACTAATGATATTATCACTCAACCTACATTTCAATAGGTCCAAGATGATTTAGTCCCTGGAAATTGATGGGGAAATCATGATTAAGCTCAACAGTGGTGAAAATACTACCATGGAGTTTTTACATCTCTGAGATACTAAACGTTAGAGGTGTAAAAATAAAAATTTAACTCATCTAGATATTCTATATAATACTAAAATTCCCATTGTATGAGTAAGTACCACGCTAATACACGATATAACTCCGCCTGCAGTCCCTCCGGGGGCTACTGCCGGTCCCAAGCCCGGATAAAGGAGGAGGGTTGGGCATGGGGTTAGCGACCCCATCCCGTAGAAAACTAACTCGCTAAAAAAACGCTAACCAGAAATAATACACGATAACGTTGTTTTCAATTAGAATTTTTGGCTTTACACTAGTGACAGTAATATTTATAACCATATACGAGAAAGTAAACCGATTAAAACAGTTTGTGAGTCAATGATAAAAATGAAACACATTGAACCACTAAATATAATAAGTTACAAGTTAATCGTAAAGTGAAATATACTCATTGTGATGAGAGAAAAGTAACAACTTGGATAGATACTTCAACACACGAAGTAGGTCAAAACGTAGGAAAATAAAGTTATTAAATTAATGACCAGGTCAACGAACAGATACTGTTACAAAATCCGTCTGAACACAAACTAGGGTAGTTGGATCAAATTTTTATGGCTTCCGGTATGTGTAAGAGATGAGACCGAACCCCCACAACGACTCACATGACTGTTTTATATACACTTGATCAATCTATCTACTACATGACTACTATCGATCAGGCGTGATAATAGAACTATATATTGTCTGTGTGGCATTGAATAACTTCATGTTTCCCATTAATAAATATAAATGCTGCTCTATATTAAGGTAAAGACTCTAGATCTAACTGAAAAAATATTGTTCCCCTGTGTTATTAGATATATATAATAAAACGGTTGGACAAAAAAGAAGAATCAATAAAACGCGTGATCGATTGCTATTACTTCATAAACCTATGGGTCCCTCCCAGCTAAAATCACTATCAAATCTTAGATTCGGATTGCTAAAGGATAAATAAAACTTACCAAGAAATGTTAATAGCTTGGGCATCAGACTCGTATGTAGTTCCAAGGTGCCACGTGTTTCCCAGGAGTACTGACGTCGACCACTTCCATTAGTGGTACTACCGATTCCACTGCCATCCAAGGTATGCTCACCACCTGAAGAATTACTTTTACGAATTTCTAGTGGAGCTGAAATAAGCCATCGCTTATCAGGATCAGCTTGGACTGTTTGTGTTGGTTCTTCTGAACTAGTAGATGTGTGTTTTGGCAAAGGATTACGTGCCGTAACCTCCAGTGTACATCCTGTTGCTTCACACACTATTCTTATAGGTTTTAATAAACTAAGCTGGAAGGTATGAGGTTTGACACGTGAAGATACTTTCTTGATGACTTTCGTACCTTCGGATGCTCCCCCTTCAACCTGTGATGCTGTTTCACCGGATGTTTCAGTTAAACTTGCCTCTTCTCCAACTTTGGGGGAAGGTGAAGAAGTACACTCAATTTCACTATCTTCAGAGCTTTCTACTCGGTGGTCATCATCAACTATGGCACATGTCATAAGGTGTTTCAATAATGTGTTGCAAATAGAAACAGGAAGACTAACAAAGTCATTTCCCTTAAAATAGTCGCGCACAGTAACCCATGGCTGGGGTATCATCCTTGTAGTAGCTGCATTTGAGTTGTTATTAACCACAGGACCTTCTCTTATTTCTAATACATATGCTTCACGGACTGGATTCGATCGACGACTTCTGATCACTTGTCGTAACAGTGGACGATTCACTTCGTTCAAACCAAGCATATGTGGGGGTCGTCTACGGGGATTTCTGGTTGTTCGAACTGTAGGCGGTCTGACGAACATGTGTACACAATGCAAGATAAACTTTCAAAGTTGAATGTTTGTTATGATAAATATCCTTCTTTTTTTCGCTAATGGACTAAATAAATAAATAAATAGATGAATATTATGTACCAACAATTAATGGTTTAATCACAGATTTGATAGGAATGTACAAAACAATTTTACTGTGGAATGTATACGAGTAATCCTAAGATCAGTGAGCGAGAATTTGATGCGTCGAAATCTTAGAAATGTAAGTAGAATAATTGATTCCAATTTTTAAAAAAAATAACATGGACGTCTTCTTATCGATCGATCAACGGTGACCTACAAATTGCGTTAGAACATTTGTTAATAATATTAACCTTGTCATAGAGAGTGATATACAGACATGTTTTGTGCTATACAAGACCATAAACTACGCATTGATGTGTTATGTGTGTATCAAATTTTTTTTGTTTTTTCACATTGTATTACTGTAAAGCGGTAGTAACTAAATGTTACAATAATTTATTTGCATATTAAATTAATAAAGTTTGGTTTTAAAATTATATAGAAGTAGGGTAAAGATGCTTTTCTCAGTCCTAAATACTGAACATCAGTTTAAGGGAATTAGTGTGGTAATCCAATAAACCATTAGATGAAATTCAGTAATTGCTTGAGTAATTTTACAAAGAGTTATTATGATTAAATTGGTTGAAGTTAGACATTAACATCGTTGGAGGTGGGCTCAGTGGTTTAATGGTTAAGCGCTCACGCACGAGACTGATAGGTCCTGGGTTCGGGTCTCGCCGGGGGCGGGGTCGTGGATGCACGCTGCTAAGGAGTCCCATACTAGGACGAAACGACCATCCAGTGCTTACTTGATTTCAACTACTGAAATTATTATAATTCACAAATTGATTTGGATTGCAGGTGCTGTTCAGTAAAATACCATATCAGGAAAAATAACTCGTAGATGAGAGTAATTAAGAAAAAAAAACAAATGTATACAATTTTTAGTATGGGGTTGTGGAGATTGGTGGATTTTATTGAAATTATGAACCGATCTAAGTTAGAATACCATTGAAAACCTGGAAGCATTGGGTGGCCGTTTCGTCCTAGTATGGAACTCCTCGCCTGTGCAAATCCACAATCTCTCACACTGGAAAATAATCCAGGACCTTCGATCCCGTTTGAGGGACCGTGCGTGCATACATACTAGGACGAAAAGGCTATTCCGTGTTTCCAGTCTGTTAATGATGTTCTAACTTAAATCGATTCATGACTTAAATGAAAGCACTTGTAAAAGTTTACAACCTATCATGAAGTAAATTATTGTTGAATTGAAGTGAAACTATCATGGTGGCTTGCATAGTTCCTTCCCTGACATAATTCTTGGAGAAACAACAAACAATTGCATTGAAATATGCATACATTAAGCCCAATAGACTTGGTAATTCAACAAATAAACTAGATACTAAATGGGAATTTCTCGCAGCATTGAATACGTGTTCTGAGAATTCTCCATTGTAATTTTTTATGGGATATTGAATAATGTGATTAGTATTATTAGACTGCGGTTATCTGGAACTTCTTCAATGTTCACTAAGTGTGTCCTTCTCATAATTTTCAATAAGTTTTCCATTCATTGGAGCTATTCAGCAGTAAGCATTGAACTCAGGTTTCTTACCAATTGTCACTTATCATCAAGGCTTACCTCAAATACTGATGGAACTAATGCTCCTCGTGGAACTTAGATGCACATCACATAACACACTCTCATAATGACTGAGCTATTCAAACAGTGGCTGATCTCCTGTAGTACTGATTTATTTAAATTCATTGGTCACTCACTATTCAATGATCAATCACTCCATCAACAAAGTGTGTTTGCTGAAGTGCTTTTCAGGCTTTGAGAACAAAGCAAAATAATGTACATTCTCATGTAAATTATACCTACAGTCTAAGTATTGATACAAAACATTTGAAATTTATACTGCATCGAAAACACTTTATAGTAGATTTTATTGAAAATCAATATTAAGTGTCACTGAATCTAAACTTTAAATTCGACAGTCCTCTAAAGAATTACTTTAAAATGAATACAATTTTAGACTATTTTTCCAACCTGAGACCTCCATTATCTACTACCACTACTACTATCTTGGAGATTAAAATATTCAAAGTGGGTTTTAAATAAAATTCTGTTGCATAAAATTCAGTTTAACCATGTACATCACAACCAATGAGTATACTATTACATAGACATTATAAACAAAGATTGATAGTGGCTAGCAATGGAATCCAGAACGCGTATTTCGTCCTATTTAGGACTCATCAATTAGATGTACCTGTATCACAGAGTTGATGTTCACTCTAAGACTGAAACCCAACACCATTCGCTTCAAACGTCATCGCGTTATCTACTTAGTTACTGAGTTAAGATAGCGATTAACTTGTGAAATGGGGTGGAGTTTTAATTTGTTTTTGTATTGTTTGTTTGAATCTTCCGATTGATGTTTAGAACTGCAGTTGATTAATCTCTCATAACGCTTGTGACCTAAGGTGATGTCGAGGCAGTCCGCACAGAATGCACAAAAGCGACTAAGAAACTGACCAATTTCAATCCTAACCATCAGTGGGAAGATTCAACCAATCAATATAGGAATGAATTCTACATAGACAGCTATTTATCAATTCACAGATGGTGCTATCGATTTTAGTTAGCGATAAATGTTGCAAAAATACTTCATACTGTTTAACGAACTATTGAATATACAGTTACTGCATTATGAGCAGATACAGAGTGAATTCCCTCGAACAAGGTGACACAGAGAGATAGATTTTCAGATTAAACTATCTGTAATTTGGAATGGTGAAAATGAAATAGTTTGGAGAAGTGAATCTATTATGTACAAAATTGATATAACGTTACTACATCTAGTGATAAATTCCAATTTTTAGTGTATGAAGATAAAATTTGAATTAGACCAAATGATAAGCTAATTTAGTCGATTGGCTAGTTATGGAGTTCTTTGACCACTTTGAATAACAATGAAAACACATTTTCGAATGGGTATCACTTCCCCTAAGTGTAAAGTGTTGCTTCAGGATTGTTCTACATAAACGCTAGAACTTATGATACGGAGTGAATCAGTTAAACGCATCGTTCACTTTACCTATCTTGGAAGTCTCATTTTCTCAGGTAGGTTGGTGTTCGATGATAATGTTCCGTCGTGGATTCGAAACCTCTATTGACTCTAACCAACGTCATCTGTGGCTTAGGCAAGGTGTCTGTTCACCTACCAAAAGAGAAGTATACTGAACAAACATTTCTACTGTTTTGATCTATGACTGTGTAATGTGACTTTTAAAAATAAAGGATGTTCACCAGTGAATAATATTTGATCATAGATGCCTTAAAAGCCTTACTCAAGTATGCTGAGATAATCGAATAAGGTTAGACTCATGGCATTAAGTAAAGATGAGAAGTCGGTTGATGAGGTAAAAGATCTTCATCAATTCAAGTGATTAAGATTTATGTAATGTGTGCTAAACAATCACTTCTCGCCCAACGCACGATATTTTATAGTGTAGGAGTGTGTGACTGAAAACGTACAGCAGTCAAACCAAGACGTCGTAGCAATCCATGAAACCATTAACTATTGGATTAATCTTGGTTAGTGGTTACAAACTACCTTTTAGAGGCCCTAGTGATTATTGTAATCAGTGATTGGAGACAACGAGTTATACAGCTCAAAACTAGTCACAATCATACATTTATTCCTTATCGACTGTAAGATTTGCTTATACCTTTTTTATTCCACGAATTTTATGTTGCTTATGTCTAATTAACATAAAAATTTATACATCCGTTGTCATCAGTATAAATTTCAATTGAATGAAACTACATATTTATGTGATTACTATGAGCACTACAACTACTCCTGGAAATAACAAGTAATTTATTCACTCTACACTCTTTAAATATTCACATTAAGATGAATACATGTTTAATTTCATGAATTAATAATACAAATTTCAAGGAATTTATTAATTATACATTACTGAGGATTGGATTAACATCAATAAAATGAAAGAATAAACAATGAACAAACTCCCTTATAGATTCTATTTATTACTTCATGTTTCCAGGTGCATACATGTACGCACACGCACACGTACACACACACACACACAAACTTGCACGTTATGCATACAACAAACATATAAATACACAATCTAAATTACACACACACGTATCTACACACATACATATCAATATTTGAATAACCAAAAACAAAAGTGAATCTAAATAGAATATGATGATCCATAGCAAATCAATTAAATAATGATAATCATTGAAATTAGAAAAGTTTTAAGATGAATCACTATGTATTATTGTTTCACTTTGAATTTAATCCATTAAAGGAAATAAATAATAAATTTTTCCTGTTTAAGCAATAACAGTTTTATCTCCAGCCCATGCCTCACATGAATCAGTAAAATATGTAAATAATAAAATGATTAAAGCAGTTAGAAATATACCACCAGGCCATAGAAGACCATGCATAAACATTGATGATGTATATAAACGATGTAGTATAGCTGCTGCATGATTAGAATCTAATTGTTGAATAAGAGGTAGATGATATCTATTAGGTGGTGATTTATTATTCATTGACATTAGCATAGAATGATTCAATGTTGTAGAAGATTGAGAAATCGAAGGAACAGATAATGATGGTGATGAGGAGGACGAAATGGTATTAGTGAAAGATTGTTGATCATTAGTTAAAATATTATTCGAAAATTGTGGATTATTTGTTAGTGTTGTTGTTGTAATTAATGTTGTATGGGATGGTGTTGGTGTAGCGTAACATCGAAATATATTACGTCGACTTAAATCACGTTTGAATTCTTCCACAGCTAGTTTATTATCTTCTTCACGTCGATGACATGGACTTGTTGCGCACTAACAAATGTAAAAAAGGGGAAATAATATGAGATTATGTAATGTAAAATATGCAGAGAGGTTTAAAAATAAGACATGACCCCTAAATAACTAAATGAATATACTACTGTAAAGAGGATTAATGAAAACTATTGAATTTCATAG